GCTCCCGCCGCCCTCCCGTTATAACTGGGGAGATATGTGTGTGTGTGTGGAAACACTTTGGAAAAAAATGCAGTTTTTGTCATCGCCTTTATTATTCCGCTTGGTAAGTCACAGGGCACGAGCGAGGTGAGCTGTTGCACTAAAGGAGGTGGCGGCAAAAGCTGCGCCCCCGGGCAGAGCCCGGCATGCGGGCGGCCCCGGCACGCGTGGAGCTGGCTTGTGCCTGAAAGGCGGCCCAAGGTGTAACAGCTACTCCCGGGTGACTCCGTGCATCCGCGGGCTTGAGAACTAGAAGATCTCATTTTCAAGTCGGGAAGAACCGTGGCACCTGAATATCACATAGGGAAGCTGTAGTGCCCAAACTCCTGGACAAGTGGAGACAACTTGCCTAGGCAAGTGGTCTGTGTGGTGGGTGGGGAACTGGCTGGCAGGCTGCACCCGAAGGGTGCTGGTAAATAGCTCTTTTTCCAGCTGGCAACCCATCACAAGTGGGGTCCCCTAGGGATCGATACTGGGCCCAACGTTATTCAGTATCTTCATAAGTGATCTGGGTGATAGGATCAAGTGTAGCCTGATGAAGTTTGCAGATGACACCAAATTGAGTGGGGAAGCGGACGTTCTGGAAGGGAGATCCACCCTGCAGTAAGATCTGGATAGGCTGGAAGAGTGGGATAACAAGAGCCTCATGAAGTTCAACACAGTCAAGTGTAAGGCCTTGCACCTGGGAAAACACAATCCAGGAGTGCAGCACAAGTGCAACACCTGGCTGGAGAGCAACTCTGCAGAAAGGGACCTGGGGGTCCTGGTGGACAAGCTCAATATGAGCAAACAGTGTGCTGCTGCGGCCAAGAAGGCCGACAAGATGCTGGGTTGTATGAACAAGGGCATCACCAGCAGAGATAAGTCATTATCCATCTCTACTCAGCGCTTGTCAGGCCACACCTGGAATACTGTGTTCAGTTTTGGTCCCTACTATACAAAAAAGATGTGGACAGACTGGAGGGTCCCCAGAGAAAAGCCACCAAGATGATCAAAGGACTGGGAACCCTGATGTATGAGGGTTTGTTCAGCATTGAGAAAAGGAGGCTTAGAGGTGATCTCATCACCATCTACCAGTATTTAAAGGGTGGCTACGAAGAAGATAGAGACTCCCTTTTCACAAGGAGTGGACAGTGAAGTGGATCGAGAACTGGTTGAATGGCAGGGCCCAGAGGGTTCTGATCGGCGGGGCAGAATCTCGTTGGAGGCCAGTAGTTAGTGGAGTCTCCCAGGGCTCAGTACTCGGCCCAGTCTTGTTCAACCAGGTCCAGCCCAGAACTGGACACAGTACTCCAGGTTGTTGCCAAGAAGGCCAGTGGGATCCTGGGGTACATTAAGAGGAGGGTGGCCAGCAGGTCGAGGGAGGTTATCCTCCGCCTCTACTCTGCCCTGGTGAGACCCCACCTGGAGTACTGTGTCCAGTTCTGGGCTCCCCAGTTCAAGAAAGATGAGGAACTCCTAGAAAGAGTCCAGAGGAGAGCAACTAGGATGATTAGGGGACTGGAGCATCTCCGCTATGAGGAAAGGCTGAGAGAGTTGGTCTTGTTTAGCCTGAAGAAGAGAAGACTAAGAGGGGATCTCATAAATACTTACAAATATCTCAAGGGTGGATGTCACGAGGACGGAGCCAGACTCTTTGCTGCAGTGGTGTCCGGTGACAGGACAAGGGGCAATGGGTACAAACTGAAACATACGAGGTTTCAGTTGAATATGAGGAAGAACTTCTTTACTTTGAGGGTGGCAGGGCACTGGAACAGGCTGCCCAGGGGGGTTGTGGAGTCTCCTTCTCTGGAGATATTCAAAGCCCGCCTGGATGAAGCCCTGTGAAATATGCTCTAGGAGAACCTGCTTTAGCAGGAGGGTTGGACTAGATGATCTCCCGAGGTCCCTTCCAACCCTTGCCATTCTGTGATTCTGTGGACATAGGATGAAAATTTTTCACAATAACAGTCAACCATTGGGATAATCTCCCCAGGGGAGTGGTTGACTCTGCCACACTGGACACTTTCAAGATGCAGCTGGACAGGGTGCTGGGCTATCTTGTTTAGATGTGCTCTTGCCTAGAAAGGTTGGACCAGATAGCCCTTGAGGTCCCTTCCAACATGGTATTCTATGATTCTATGAACTCAGCGAATGGCACAGAGCAGCTACCGATTAGAAACAGATTAGGAAGAAGAAACTTCCAGAGTACATGGGATAACTACTGGAGCATCAGAAGCTGCTGAAGAAAACATGCAGTCCTGGGAGAGAGGCCAGGCCCATCAAGGATCGTGCCTGGCTAGAGGATGCACTACAGGGTGGTATAACATATGATTTTCATAAAGGCATAAAGGCACACACATTTAATATACTTGGCTACCATGTATAGAGAGATATGACAAGTCAGACCACAAAAGCTTCTCCTGACACAAAACTTGCCAGATTCAAGCCTGGAGGGTTTTCAGGAACTTCAGAGAGATTCAAAGTGGAGCAGGCTCCCAAATAGCAAATGCTGCTATAAACCAGCAATAAATACAAGGCAGTGTACCTGCCAGAGCCCAGCCACAGTTACAGTCACGATGTCATCAATGACCTAGCTGCACAGGTGTACATTTCTGCTGAAAGACCAAAAAGCATACCGTGTTCAATGCCTTACATGGAGACGCACTGTTCTGCTATTTACTCATCCAAAATATCCCAGTTGTGGCTGCTGTTACAGGACTTTTGTGTAAAATTCACTTGCTTTTATGCAGCTTCCATTGTCTCTTCATACACCCATAGAAATTTTCACATCAGTAGTTTTGAAAAACAACCACTGGCACTAGTAGTTACCACATGTACGCTTGTATAAATATTGCTATTACTATTGCACTTAAAGACTTAAGAGAAACAGCTGAGTTCCTCTTAAATAGTTTCCCAAATTTTTAAGATTAAGAATGAAATCTGAGCTGGTGATGACTACATGCACACAGACGGGCCTTTCTGCAAGTTCTTCAGCTGCCTCAAAGTACAATTTCTGAACCGGCTGAACAAGCTGCCAAGCCCGAAGGCTCAGCACACACGATGCCTTCTTTGCCAAAATGTTCTTCTGTATTATATTCCTCTTAAATAGTTTCCCAAATTTTTAAGATTAAGAATGAAATCTGAGCTGGTGATGACTACATGCACACAGACGGGCCTTTCTGCAAGTTCTTCAGCTGCCTCAAAGTACAATTTCTGAACCGGCTGAACAAGCTGCCAAGCCCGAAGGCTCAGCACACACGATGCCTTCTTTGCCAAAATGTTCTTCTGTATTATATTTAGTTAATGCAAAAGCTTGAGGCTAAGTCAGCCGAACGGCTTCGGGGAGCTCCCCAAGCCGGCCCCCCCATTTGGGGGGCCGCCCGC